TCTAGCGACAGGATTGGAACAGCCTGACGACGACGTACAACCTCACCAGGCCTTTATTCACCGTCCCAGACTACCGGTCGATCCTGGATGTAGAAAGAGAAAAAAAAACAGGCTTCCAATTTTGAAACAAGGTGTACCTGGATATCGCTAGATGACACTCCTGCGAATCTGAAGATGGTCGCTGTTAGAATCTTCGACCAGAAAAACGGCGTCACGCGCCGAGCGGGTGATGGTTGCAGCGGCTTCCGACGGCGCGTGCAGCTCACGCGCGGTGATTTGGGCGTGCGGACTTCCGGTCACCGGTCGACGGCGGCAGGCGAACCAGAGGGACAGTTGTTGGACTAAGGTTATGAACTAAAGTGTTTTCTGACGTTCTGCTAAGGTTCTGAGACTGGATGTTCTGCTGAGGTTCTGAGAGTGAGGATGTTCTGCTGAGGTTTGGAAAAAGGTTCTGGGAAAAAAAAAATTTGGAAAGAGACTAAGATCGGAAGATTCTTGAAAACTTTGGACTGAAATCAAGAACTTAGAGAAAGAAGGATTTTGAAAACTAAACTGAAATGGATGGCTCTGATACCATGTTGAAATATAAACTAGAATAATATTGAAAGTGGAGGAAAGATTTTCTGTGTATTTCATTGAAGGGTAAGGCCCTATAAATATAGATTACAAAGATAGAATATTCCTATAAAAGATGCTATACAATAATACTATATATGGTATATTCCTAATATATTCTAAAGCATATTCTAAAGTATATTCTAATATACTTTTACACATATAAACTTCCTCGTGCAGATCTCCGTGAAGGAATGCGTTTTTAATATCCAATTGGAACAATGGCTAGCGGCTCATTGCTGCCATGGATAAAACCAAACGAATTGATGCAATCTTCGCTACAGGAGAAAAAGTGTCAGTGTAATCCAAACCATATATCTGAGTATACCCTTTCGCCACAAGGCGTGCTTTAAAGCGATCAATCTCCCCATCAGGCCCAACTTTAACTGTGTAAATCCACCGACATCCCACCACTGATTTGCCAGGGGGAAGGGGAACCAAGTCCCACGTCCCACTAGAATGAAGAGCCTCCATCTCAACCAACATGGCTTTACGCCACTCCGGGTGTGCCAGTGCCTCATGTGTGGTTTTAGGAATGCATATATGAGATAGGTGGGAAATGAAAGCATAGTAAGGGGTAGAGAGGCGGTGATAACTCAAAAAGTTATATATGGGATGTGGATTCAATGTGGAACGCGTACCTTTTCGGAGGGCAATGGGCAAATCATCCTGAGTGGTTTCAAGTGCTGGAGTAGGTGATGGTGGTGATGCAGGATCCATCATAGGGGAATCAACGGGCGTGGTCACGATGGGCTCAATGGGAGGAGGTCGAGGTCGTCGATGGTATACCTGTAATGGACGGTCTGACATAGGAGGGAAGTTTGGGTGCTCATCAGATGGGGGGCTAATGGGAATCTCCTGGTGGATGGGCCGGAGATATGAGGTGAAGTCCAAACATGATGGGGTATCAACTGAAGATAATGGATAATAGAAGGACGACTCAATGAAAGTGACATCAGCTGAAATAAAATGTTTCTTAAGTAATGGAGAATAACAACGATAACCCTTTTGGAGTCGTGAATATCCAAGAAAGATACATTTTATTGACCTAGCCGACATTTTAGCTAATCCAGGTGTCGTATCATGGACAAAACACACACACCCAAAGACATGAGGTGGTAATGGAAATAAGTCATGGCCAGGAAACAAAATAGTATAGGGAATTTCATTATTAAGAACTGAGGAAGGCATTCTATTTATTAAATGACAAGCAGTGAGCACAGCATCTGCCCAATACTGAGGAGGTGTATGGGAATGTAATAATAAGGTACGAGCAGTATCAACCAAGTGTCGGTTCTTGCGTTCAGCAACCCCATTTTGTTGAGGCGTGTGAACACAAGATGATTGGTGAAGCATGCCCCGTGATGACATGAATTGATTAAAGGATGCCCCAAAAAATAATTTAGCATTGTCACTGCGTAAAATTTTGATAGAATGACCAAACTGAGTTTGAATTTCAGCACAAAACGTTTGAAAAATATGAAACAATTCAAAACGCTCCTTCATTAAGAACAACCATGTGTAACGGGAAAAATCATCCACAAAAATAACAAAATAACGGAAACCTAAAGTAGAAGTGACTCGATACGGACCCCATACATCTGTATGAACTAAATCAAACGGTGATGTAGCCCGTTTATTGACTCGCCTTGGAAAGGATTTACGAGGTTGTTTTCCAAGGTGGCATGACTCACAATCTAAAGATGAAAGATTTGAGAAACCTGGAACCATACGTTGAAACTTGGAGAGACTAGGATGACCCAGACGGTTGTGTAAGGTAATAGCAGGTTCAACTGAAACACAAGCGGTTGGATCAGGAGGATGGAGATGATACAGACCTTGAGATTCATGTCCGACGCCAATCGTTTTCCCCGTACAACGGTCCTGCACAATCACAGAATCAATAGAAAATGTTACGGAACAATTAAGATCACATGTAATTTTGCTGACAGAGACAAGGTTAAAAGGGGTGTTAGGGACATATAAGAATGAGTCTAATGGTAAGGATGAAAATGGAAGTGCTTGCCCAATACCCGAACCCGAAATTTGAAGGCCATTAGCAAGAGTAATCAAAGGAAGATGTCGGTGCTTGGTAATATGGGATAAAAGATGGGGATTACCAGAAATATGGTCTAAGGCACATGAGTCAATGATCCATGAGCCCGTTGTGTTTGAAACACAAGCGGTAGACACCCCGGGCGTGGATAAAGGCATATTAGTCAACTTAAATTCCGGTGATAGAACAATGGGAGATGATGGGAGCTGAGCAACATGGGCTGAGGGAGGATTTCTCCCATGTAATTGCCAACACCTGTCTTTATTATGACCAATTTTATGGCAAAAATCACATTTAGGACAATTCCATCTTGAGTATCCGGTGTTGTTTCCTCTGTCAGAACTCATAAAGACATTTTTTTAATACTTTTTTTTTCTTTTCTATTTTTTTTTCTTTTTCTTTCTTTTTTTTAGAAGAATGAAAAGCTAACAAATGAGAAATTAAAAATAAAACCTGCTGAGGATCAACGCTTCAAGACAGTAGAACTCACGATAGCCGTTTGCAAATACTCCGTAAAAAATAAAACCTGCTGAGTGTGTGATGCAGTGTGTTGACCGTCTCACGTTTGAGGGACCATCTCTCAGGCAACGCCAAGCTGGAGTGTGAACAAGTAGACCAGAGAGCAACCCAGAGAGCAACCCAGAGAGCAGTGAAACAGCGGAAGTAACTGCCTGAGATTCCGTCAAATAGGTGGAGCAACGGCCAGAGCAGCGGCGAGCGGCCAGAAAGGCGGCGACGACCGATATGAGCGGCGCGTGGTTTTGGCGGCGGCGCGTAAGATCGGCGGCGGCGCGTGGTTATGTCGGCGGCGCGTGGGTCCGATGAGTGACTGGTTTATGTTGTTTTGGTCGCTAGGAGTCACAGATCTTCAGTGTTTCGTCTGTGTGAGCTCAAGATGAGTAGAAAGAGAGAGATCTGTAAAGAAAGGTGAAAGAACCTGGCAGTTGGCGGCGGCGCGTGGCAGTGCGTGCAAGTTGCAGCAGAGGTGTAGTTTCAGACGTTAGTGTACTGAGGATGGCGGTAGGTGTGGTTTGATATATCACTACCGGAAATTGCTCAAACACCAAATGCTCTTACTGTTCACGTCGGACTTTCTTGCCGGAAATTAAGAATACTATATCTAAAGACATATATGGCTCTGATACCATGTGAACAAGTATTGTTATATTTCATATATTTGATGTTTTAACATACTATACAAGAAGCTATATTTATAGCTATATTTAGAGTACTAGGGTTTCCTATACAAATGGGCTAAGCCCAATACTACTAGGGTTTCCACAGGTGTATTTTCATTGATGGCCGAATGCGACACAGTAGGAGAGAGATTACCTTCGGATCGCGAACTGCTGCTGCTAGAAGAATTCCGCGATCCTCTACTGGCCCGTGACCTTCTTCTACTGTTTCGTTCCTTGTTGGTCATCATCTGGTGCATCTCCGTCATCATCGCCTCCAGTTTTTCTATCCGACCATGACCATCCGTCATCATCGCCTCCAGTTTATCAATCCTGCCCTCCATTTGTAGTCGCGCAAATGGCATCCACCGCCCACTGATCGTGCTCTGATACCAAATGATACGACACAACACTCCAGAGAAATTTAGGGACGTATATTAATCAACGTTCAGTCCAAAGGAAGAAGAAAAAAAACAGATAACAATGGAAAATAGCAATAACTTGCAGCCAAAGAAAAAAACAAGCTGGAGACCATTCGAGAGGGCCCCTCTCTCCAACAACTAGACAATTCCCAGATATCCCTCTCTCCACTACCCGACTCCCTTTTATTCTCTTTTCCATCTCATCCTGACCTCACTTCATTAATTAGTAAATTACCCCCTTACCCCTTCTATAGTAAACTTTAGAAAAGTCTCTGTTAGGATTTATTTTAAATTGGGTTGTGTTCTCATCAACCACCTGCACAAATCAATACTTTTTATGACATAATACTCAGTAGTTTTTCATCAAGTATAGCAGATGTGATTCCATATGAATGAAAATTAAATAAAAACAAAAAACTTAATAATAATGTAATCTCTCAAATAGCTTTCCTAATTGATGAATTCATTATGGACTACCTGTATCTTCTTGTTATATGATTTAAAAATTCTTAATTCTAGTGAACTTTATATTATTTACAGATTGGTGCTAGTGTGCTACTGCATTATTATGATGTAAATTGAGCTTGAAATTAAAAAAAAAACAAATCATTATTCCTTATTTTTCTCTACATTTCTCGCGTTACCATTTCACATTTCAGCTACTATCTTTTGTGAGATTGTGATGTGATTTTTTTATGTTGCTTCTTCCTTTGATGTCTTGAGATGATGCAGATTAATAATGCTGGATCAAATGCTTATAGCTACAAACCGCTTGTAGAAGCTTCTGATGAAGACCTAATGTAAAACTTTTACACTTTTTTTTTGCAATGCATCCTTTGGATGTTCTTCTGAAATCGGAATCTGTTTGCAGCGAAGTGGTCACCACAAATACACTTGGTTTGATGATATGCTGTCGAGAGGTATACAAAATACAAATACACAGGTCTGGACATGTTTTGGCGTTGCAGTTTTTATTGCTAATGTTTGGCATGTTTAGGCTATAGATATGATGCTCAATCAGCCTCGAGGAGGTCATGTATTTAATATTGATGGAGCTGGTTCCGATGGAAGGCCAACCCCTAGGTGTCCTTCTTCATCTTAAAATTGCAATCATGTTTGGGTAAATTTTGCGTGGGGCAGAAATTGCTCCATTTCTGTCCAGCTATTCCTTTAACTTGTTTTTTATAGCATTACTCTCTTTGTTTCTTTTGCTTTTATTTTGTATTACTCAATTGCTACGTTAACAATAAAAGAATTGTTGGTAGGTTGGGACGTCTAGCCTATTCTCTTTGCCTGCAAAAATGTGTTTTCATCCAACATTTGAGATCTAGGATGGTTTAGTCTAGTCTAAATGTTTTTTATTTGCTGCGGTTTGGATCAATTTGATCTGATTTGAATGTTTCTTATCTTGTCTAATTTTCTTGTTTGAAGATTAAAACAAGATTTAGTAAAAAAAGGTGAACAAAACAAGACTTTGTGCTGTATTGGTTGAAAAAAGCGTGTTTGGTCAGTTCCTGTCTTAGTCACAACCTCAATGCTTTGTTTATTGATGTATTTGTTTTGCTTGTCACAGATTTGCTGCTTATGGTGCAACTAAACGTAGTGTGGCACACCTTACAAAATCCTTGCAGGCATGTAGAATCCTTTCATTCCCGTTCTTCCTAGTGTTTGTTTTTGGTGTATATCATTTTTGTTCCTGTAGTGGTCCAAAACATTGATGGGCATCAAAACCGTTCAATACGCATAGTTAAGAGACTTTATTTACCCGAATGACAATACATGTAGTTTAAGCATGTACACTTCTCAAATGCACAATTTCTGTTGACTAGTGCATTTGAGGTCAATTTACTTTTTGCGCCTTGCTTCAGTTTGGGTGGAGGCTTGATTTTGTAACAGTGCCTACTTTGTAATTTCTTTTTCTCGACATTAACAAATGCAAGGAGTACTGCTGGGGCTTGGATACCTTGAACTGTCGCTGTCTTTGATATTTTCACGATATTTAGCTGAATGTATCATATTTAGCTTGTTTTTAATATTTTTGGACAAGCTATTTGAAACAACAACATCTAAGCCTTAGTCCCAAAAGAATTTGAGGTCAACTAACATGAATCGATAAATGAAATCGGAGCTAAAAAAGTTAAATAGATAAAATTATAAGATAAGATATAAATGATAAGATAAAAATAACCATCCCCGGGCATTTGGGGTCAACTAGAACTCCGCCTTCTATTCTTATCACCACCTCGACTCCCCCATGTCCTCACGTATTTGACACCATAGAATACTTATCACCACTCTTAGGCCTATGAAGTGTAGCGGAGGACGGGAGAGAAGAAATTGTGACACATTTGTTATTTGTAGATTATTTAGTCATTTTCTTTTATAAAGACTCGTGTTCTCAAAATTCATCCTTTTTTGATAAGGCTCTTCAGCTCTTGGATCATTATGGGGGTTTGGGAGGAAAAGTCACATCCACCCATTCATTGTAGTTAAAAATATGTTTTAACACAAGAAAGTTATTGAATCCCTGTAGGCGGAATTGGAGATGCAAGATGTAAGAAAAGTTGTAGTGCACAACCTCTCAGTACGTCTCGCTGTATGCTTTATACTTTTGTATGATGAAAGTTGTAATTTCAATTTGAATGGGTATCATGAAATGAGTACATGACCAAGCATATATCTCAACTTATCAGTGTCATGATATTTTCAACGTAAAATTTTGTCACTACTCACTATGCATGCATTTATAGTCTTAGATGAATTTGTACAATTAATGGAAACAAACCACAATGCAGTACACAATCGCGTCCACAATTTTGGACGCGATTTTCACTACGGGTCATCCGGAAACAGTCTCTCTGTGCTTTAGTACAGGGGTAAGACTGCGTACATCCGACCCCCCCTTACCCCACCGTAGGTGGGAGCCTTTGCGGCACTGGGGTAAATGAAAATGTAAATGAAAATGAAATGAATGGAAACAAACCACAATGCAGTTGTGGTTAAGGTGATGATGATGGTAATGTATAGAATGATGCTGTTGTACAAAACTACAAAAATGGCATTACAGATCTGTGCTTCACCTGAAAATGTTGTGATCTTTTTGAATTTTTAAAATCTGGTCTGATCTAATCCGAATGTCTCTAGTGACTAATCTAGTGAAGATGATGATAATGAATGTAAAGATACTGTTGTACAAAATGGCATTATAGATCTGTGCTTCACCTGAAAAATGATGTGTCTTTTTTAATATTTAAATCCTGGTCTGGTATAATCCGAATGTCTCTGGTCTAGTCATTACTATAAGATCAGATCAAAACATGCTATGATCAAAATAAGGATAACTAATGAGTTATAAGAAAAAAGAATAAGCTGAACAAACTAATCAAACTGTTCCCTTTAAAATGCTTCAGTGGCCCCATTTGAGTCAACCTTTGACAATCTAATAATTACTCATCATCATCATCATTACCCTAGTGCCGCAAAGGCTCCCACCTACGGTGGGGTAAGGGGGGGGGGGTCGGATGTACGCAGTCTTACCCTAGTACTAAAGCACAAAGAGACTGTTTCCGGATGACCCATAGTGAAAATGGGGTCGAAAATTGCATGGATTGACTGCTGCTTCATAGCAAAGAAGCGCGGACAGTTTAGTGAACCATTTTGCTTTATTCCATCATATTCCCAAGCCAAAAAATAGTGAATCTTTGACTCCATTGCAAATGATGGAAAGCTAATAATTACTATGCTATCTATTTCTGGACAATGTTTATATTCATAGGCTCAATTATTCTCTGATAAATGAACAGCCTGGAATGGTCACAACTGAACTTCTCATGTCTGGTGCTACCACAAAGCAGGTTTTCCACTATAACGTCACTATACTCTTACTGTTGTTTTCTTTCTGATACATTTTAACAACTTTGGCTTAATGTAGGCCAAGTTTTTTATAAACATATTGGCAGAGCCGGCTGATGTGGTAAGGTTTTTAATTTTTTCATTCCATTGTCTAATTCTTATCGTCCTGTCTGAGATTATTTCCATAAAGCTTCTCTAGTGTAGATAATCGCATAATGGAAATGTCTTCAGTAGTTACAAACAGCCAAGCAAGCACCATTACTGTAGTTGGAATTACCCCTATACAAGAGCATCTCTGCACTTCTGGTCCTTGGGCTATAATAGTTTTTGTTTTTGGTTCCCATCTTTAAAAATGACCAGTTTTGGTACTCCGTTTTTCAAAAATGTTTTCACTTTTCGGATCTGGTTTCACAATCGACCGATCTTGATTCATAGGAACCGGAACAGGAACCTGTAGGGGCCAGTTTGGTTCTCCGGGTAGTTCCGAACCACCCAGAATCCTGAACCCCACCCGATTTGCTATTATAGGTAGCTGGACCAATTATTGAGCTACAAATATAGAAAAAGAACAGGAGACAGATTTTCCTTTTTCAGTCCCCTTTAATCTGGAACTGAATATCATCTTTGGTTTCGGTATTCCCATTTCTCGTTCTCATTCCAGAGTATTGATTTAGAACTAGAATCGTGTCCATCCCTTCTAAAGTTCAATTTGAGAGACACGATGGTAAATATCTTACCTCAATGTCACTCCTTCTCACTTTTAGGGGATCCTAATAAATCTAATCTACCAAATCAAACATCGCATATCCTCCTTAGTTTTTTAGTATCTTCATCCGCTACTCATTTTAAATATTTGTATTATTGCATCAGTAGTTCACTAGTTCCTTTAGTTAGTTAGCAAAGACGACCCAAGGGTTTCTATTTCCATTACTATCTCTCAAATTGAAACTGATATTTCATGTTAATGATGTCCCAACATGGCAACGTATAAGAAAAGTGGACAAATTTCAATAGCTAGAGAATATCAAAGCTGATGCCAATCTGTCGGTGGGCCAAAACTTGAAGTTCCTTTATATTTACCACTAGCATCATTAGTTTTATTCCCTTTTTCTGTTTCCTCCCCCCCCCTCCCCCCCGTTTGTGGGGACATTCTTGGTCAATGGTAGTCAACTTTGACTAATGATTTTTTTAATACAAAATAATTTTGAATATGAAAATTATATTAAGATGTTCCTTATTGAAAATATTTTCATAGAAGTGTAAAATTTATAAATTATATACAAATATAATAATTATAATCATTATCCAAAGTTTGCCATCATTGAACAAGAAAAGTCAATATGGCAAACCTTTTTGGGACGGAGGTAGTAATATTCACCATGTGTTTGACGTTTGTGAAACATGTGTGATAACATTGGAGTGAGAATTTGATCCCCTGACCAAATTTTTTGTTTAGGCCAATGAATCGACATGGGCCAACTACTATATTACACTTGGGCGATTCAAGCATAAGAAAATGATGACATTGTGGTGACATGGACCAATTATATGCATTTTAGTTACGATACTCTCACTTGTTAGTGAGGAACCATAACATTCACTAGTTAGTTATAAGTTAACTTGGCATTTATCATCCGATGTTTTGGATTGAGATGGTGGAATTATGATTCCATTTCTTCATCTTCCTAGCCAGTATATTACTGAGTCAATTTTTGAAACCTCAAGTATAAATCCCATAGAACAATGTTAACAGCCTTAATTGTTTCAGGTGTCCAAGTACCTTGTCCCCAAAATTAGGTCTATCCCTACAAGTGGTTCGACAAAACCGACTTACATTCATTTTCTCACCGGATTGAAAGCATATTCCCAGATATTCTTAGTAAGTATGAAAAAACCAGCATATTCCCAGATATTCTTAGCAAGTATGATAAAAAGCAGCATTTTTATGTGGTATTCTATCTTCATTAGAGGCTGATGTGTTTTGTTTTTGTTTATTGGTTTTTTCATTTCATAAAACCATCGTTCATTAACCTGGCATTCATTCTTTGTGGTACTCTCTATCTATTCAGAGGATTGCATTTGGTGTGAGGAGGAATCGACATATTTTTGAGGATTGACAAAATGGAATCTGCGTGCAAAGCATGTGCATTCTCCAGCATTTGCCAATAGCATGCAAACATAAAGGCCATTGTGATCTGTTTTCACTAGAATTTGATCAGCGCCGAGACATTCACTAGGGATGAATATGGCCCGGTGTGGGACGGTTCTCTTAAAGAACCTTTCTCGTATCAAATTACAGTTGTAGAAAACCAGAAATCAAGTACCGGTTCCAAATACAAGTGGCGCCTATTCCGTTCCCTACCAATTGTTGGTACTATACTTCGGTACCATTTAGTTCATGAATAATATACATAATAAAATTATGTACAAACTATAAATCAATATTCAAATGTTCAGTTTTAAAGTAGGAGTGTTTATCACAATTAATCATGAACAACCATTAGATTATAATTGCCAATAACTAATCAGGATAAGTTTGAACAACTAATAAATTCATCACAATTAGGTAAAATAGTACTCCGTAGTTCACAAGATTTGATAATTGATACAGTGATTAATTATGAAGGCTAAATGAGTGCTGTCTAAAACAACACTACTATAGCGACTAATGTCTAGTTATATATTATACTAGTATATTGTAGGATATGATATCCGATACATTATACTCCGGTATTTTAAAAATTGCTATATTAGCTTTGACATTCACTAGTCAAAACTTGGTCATTGGGTCTCTATATCTTATTGGCCACTATCACAATGGACTGAGCTGCTTGTGATCGTTGTTAGGCCTTAAAAAAAAGAAGAGATAGTGATATGGACTACTTGAGAAGAAATTTAGTGATTAAATTAATTTGGATTATTTAAAATGTCCAATTAATTTAATTATAAATCAAGTCTTTAAAAAAATGGACCAATCCTATTAATTTTTCCATTTTGAGCCCATTATCAAATAGTGGCTCAATATATAAGAGCCATGATTCGATTGATAAAGTGAACAACGAATCTGGCTAAGAAATCCTTCTATATAGCCCAAAACCCATTTTAATTGAGGCCCAAATTAGCCTTAGACCCGTTTTGGGCCACCCAGCCCGGGAACCGGCCCAGCCTGCTACTGTGCGGGCCCGGCCTGGCCCGGTGCTTTGGGCCCCAAACCGGTTTATGACCCGGTTGTATGGAATAAGCGGGGCAGGCTCGGGCTGTACAAATGGGGACCCAGCCTGGCCGGGCCCGAGTGGGGTTCAGGCCAAAATTGTTTTTTTTTTTTTTTTTTTTTGTATTTTCAGTTTTTTTGGGTTTCCCCGGGTTGGGCTTGATGTTTTGGGGGGTGGGGGGGTTGGGGGGTGGGGGGGTGAGGCCTGAGGAGGGGGGGGGGGGGGGTAGCTAGGAAAGAAAAAAAATTACAAGCCGGCCCGAGGCCCGGCCCGGCCTGAACCGGACCCGGTGGCAACCTGGGCCGGTCTCGAGCCTTCCCCCATCCACAAAAGGCCCGGCCCGGCTGCATGCCTAGCCCAAATGATATGAACGAATTTTGGGAACCCTAAGTGTTTACTTCTCTGCTAAAGTTACAGTTAGGTTAGCAAGACATGTGAATTAAACACGCACGCTGCTTAAAAAGTTGCTTACTAACCGAAAGATGTGCTTAAAGTGCTGGTTACTAAGCATACCACCTCCCATGTATTAATTAAGCGGCACTTTAAACCTTTTTAGTTTCCGAATTTACACTTACCCCTTGCCCTATTGTCACCCCTCTACCTGCTACACTCTACCCACATCGCCCTACCCTACTACCCCGACCCCACCCCGGCCCCGACCCCACCCCTACCCACTACTCCATCCTTATCCCTCACCCCTACCCTACCCTACCCCGACCATCAGGCCCGGTCCTGACATTTTGTAGACCCGGGACATATTACAAAAAATGGGCCCTTGAAATTACAGAGCTAAAAAACAAATTTTATTATAAAAGCAAAGTTCAATGCAAAAAATTACAAAACAATTACTTGGAGCATTCTCATATGAAAAACCATCTGTTTAAAATATTTAGAAACATTAGCGTGGAATCTGGTTGGTTGTTGACAAATTATAATTAAAGATTAAATAAAGTTCCTCACGAAAAATCAAAAGTAATGACACATTTTTTTAACGGAGGCACACTGTTATTATGTTAATTGGAATTACCGAATTAACAAATCATCAAATCACACAACACAAATGACAATTCATCAAAAAATCAAAATTTAAACCTCCAAAATCAATTGTACCATTTGTACGGCAACTAGGTTTTAAATATAGGTGACAACTCCGGTAGCTTTCTAAAATATGGGGTACCGTACCTATCATTCATTTGATTGGACCACATCACATTATTATTTTTAATTTAGATTTAAATAATTCAACTGCTACATTCTCATTGGTCCATGTGGACAAAAGTATGATACCTTATGAGTACGATAGAATTTACCTTAAATATATAGGCATATTCTAAAGTAAATGATGAATGTTAAGAGATAAAGTAAATCACCTCCACAAATTCACAAAGCCACATTCATGGGTCTACAATTGTCACGGAAGAGAAATTGAGAGATGAATCCGAAGAAAGAATATAATTGAATACCGGATAAAGTCATAAAGCTTGAAAAGAATAATATAAATCAAAACTACTCCGTATATATTTACCCCGTAAAAGAGAAGAAAATATTATGGGGAAACTGTCAAATAGGTCCTCGAACTTTCATAAAAAAGTCAATTAAGTCCTTCTATAGGAAACTCTGTTCGGTCGTCGCGATTTGGGGTGGTTCCTGGTGGAATATTTTGATGAAATTTTTTGAGCATCTTATTCATCAAGTCTAGTTTACTCATACCAAATTTTAGCTAAAAATTTAATCGGGAGCGCATTCAAATTAATTCGAGAACGCAAAAATGCGCAGTTATCTTCAAGAATTAATTTAAATGTGTTCTCAATAAAAATGGATGAGTTTTTCACCAACTTTTGGTTTCACCAATAATAATTTATAAAATATTTACAATTACATTATCAACACCAATAAAACAAATAAATTTATTATGTACTCGTGCATTTGCAACTCAAATTAATTTTAATTAGATATTTCACCCGTCCTTTATCTGATTTTTTTATTGATACAATTTTAGTAAATTACAAATGGTAGCACAAAAGAAATAAATTACAAATTCTCCAATTAATAATCATGTATGAGAAATTGTATGAACATACCACGTATTATACTACAAGTTTGACCCCTTAAAAAAATACGTCAAGGGAATAATGTATAGTAACAAAGAAATATTTAGCCTCTGAATGAGGGTATAATTTTTAGTTTAGAAATAAAAAAACTGGCTAGCCCCGTATTAAAGCTAGAGCATATATATATATATATATATATATATATATATATATATATATATATATATATATATATATATATATATATATATATATATAGAAAAGATCCTGTCCAGACGTCCGGACAGGAGCCGCCGTCCGGCCGGCGGCGTTTGGCCGCCTTCCCGGTGGAATTTTTTGATGAAATTTTTATGGCATGTTCTCCATCAAGTCTAGTTTATCCACAAAAAAATTCAGCCAAAAACTCAATCGGGAAGGTCGTCAAATGATTTTTGCAAGTTAACTGGTCCGGAATATGTATTTTCCGGACCAGTTAACTTGCAAAAATCATTTGACGACCTTCCCGATTGAGTTTTTGGCTGAATTTTTTTGTGGATAAACTAGACTTGATGAAGAACATGCCATAAAAATTTCATCAAAAAATTCCACCGGGAAGGCGGCCAAACGCCGCCGGCCGGACGGCGGCTCCTGTCCGGACGTCTGGACAGGAGCATTCCTCTATATATATATATATATATATATATATAAGAATGTTCAGGTCCGAACGTTCGGACGGGAGCCTTCGTCCGAACATCGCCATTTGGGGCGGTTCCCGGTGGAATTTTTTGATGAAATTTTTTGAGCATGTTCCTCATCGAGTCTAGTTTGTCCATACCAAATTTCAGCTCAAAATTCGATCGGTAAGACATTCAAATCATTTTTTGAAGTTGACTGCGTTTTTATATGTATATTTTGACGCAGTCAACTTCAAAAAATGATTTGAATGCCTTCCTGATCGAATTTTGAGCTGAAATTTGGTATGGACAAACTAGACTTGATGAGAAACATGCTAAAAAAATTTCATAAAAAAATTCCACCGGAAAGTGTCCCAAACGTCCATATATATATATATATATATATATAGGGGCATATATACCCCATGATGAATGGCAAGAGAGGAGTGATGCAAGCTAGATTTCAGTCAATAATGCATGCAGATGAAAGTCACATGCACGTTTCGTCTTTGTCATTTTCCGGCAGCAAATAATTTGCCCAAATAAATATGAAAAGAGAAAATAAAAAGCCAATTAAGAACCCGGCCAGCCAAATCACAAGTAGCTAGTAGCTAGCAGCAACTTTAATTTGCCATGGCCGAGTTGGTGAAGAAATTAGCCGTAAAGGTCACGCTTATTATCTTGTTTTTTGTGATGGGGCATTACTCGGAGCAAGTTCATGATCTTCCACAGTCTGGGGCTATGCAGAACATCATGCGGCAGCTGAGATCCCCGGCAGAGCTAAGCAGCTGGAGCGATTTCTGCAACATTCCACTCCCAATCCTAACCCTCGTTTGCTATGGGGAGAACATAACGCAGCTTCATATCACTAGCCAATTCCTGCCCCGAGATATCTCCACTTCCGCCCTTTTCTCCAATCTCCAAGGCCTCCCTGACTTGAAGGTCCTCTCTCTAGTGTCTCTGGGTCTCACGGGCCCTCTCCCCTCAAGCATTGGGCTTTTATCTTCTTTGGAGATTCTGAACATAAGCTCAAACTGCTTCAGTGGTAGCCTTCCTGTGGAGATGTCGTCTCTCAAGAGCCTCAGGACACTTGTCTTGGACAATAACAGGTTCGCAGGCCAGGTCCCTGAATGGCTGGCTTCACTCCCTGCTTTGACTCTTCTGAGTTTAAGAAATAACTCTTTCACTGGTTCACTGCCCAATTCTTTGGCTACTTTAGAACCATTAAGAACCCTTGTTGCTTCTGCAAATAATCTGTCCGGGAATCTGCCCGATTTTCACAAATTGAGAAATCTCCAGGTTGTTGATTTGGAGGGCAATGGTTTTGGGCCCAATTTCCCCAGCCTGCCAACAAAGTTAGTGTCTTTGGTGTTGAGGAAGAACAGGTTCGGGTTTGGGATTCCAGATGGAGTAGTCAAGTGTTACCTGTTAAAAAAGATGGACGTTTCTTTGAATGAGTTTGCGGGGCCCTTCCCCCCATCTCTGTTGACAATGCCATCGATCGATTATCTGGATGTTTCTGGTAATAAACTGACGGGGAAGCTCTTCAAGAACATGTCATGTAACCCGGAACTCTGGTATGTGGGACTGTCATCGAACCGCTTGACCGGGGAATTGCCCGAGTGTTTGGAGCCGGGAAACGGTCACATAAAGGTTTCATACTGGGGCAATTGTTTGTCAAATAATGCAGATCAATGGCAGCATGGTTATGAGTTTTGTCGCAATGAAGCAATGGCTGTGGGAGTTGTTCCTAGGAGGAAACATGAGGAGAAAAAGGGACGTACTAAAGCCGTCCTCATCGCGTCGAGCATCATAGGGGGGCTTGTTGGAGGGGCGGCGCTCATTGGATTGGCGGTCTTCTTTTGTGTAAAAGAGAAATTTGCTGACAAGACGCCGCGTGTGAGGCAGATCATGGAAGACGTGTCACCCGCGTACACGCTGAAGCTACTAAATGACGCCAGTAAGGCAGCAGCATTTTGTGTTGCATCATAATTAGGCTGATCGATAGATGGATCGATCAATCATCCAATTATGTTTTCATGCACACAAGCATTCTCTAGCTAGCTAGTAGTTCTTTGACATGATGAACTAAGTGCACATAGAGAACACAACTAGGACTGTATTAATTAATGAAAAAAGAGTTGCAATAATGCTGATGCAAGTTAATTGATTGTGGCTTTGGCAGGGTATATTTCTGAAAGCAGGAAGTTGGGACTGCTGCTTGGCTTCCCCCCTTATCGAACTTTTGGTTTGGATGAGCTAAGGGAGGCTACTAATAACTTTGACGCATCCAATATAATAGCCGAAGGCTCTTGTGGTCAGGTAACCAACCATCCATCCATTCCAATTTAATATACATTGGAGTATAGTCCAACCTGGTCTGCTGCCCCAGCATAGGATTGAGCCTGGGACGTAGTGACTTGGTACAGTCACGGTGGCGGTTCATTAATATATTTATTTTCCTGTTTTGGATTTCAGATATACAAAGGCTTGCTAACCGACGGAACTGTGGTTGCTATAAGAGCCTTGAAGATGATGAAGAAACATAGCATCCAACACTACACTCACCAACTTGAACTCATCTCCAAAATCAGGCATTGCAACTTAGTTAGTGCTATAGGCCACTCCTTTGAGTATTATCAGGAGGATAATAATCATTCATGCGTCACCACAATATTTCTTGTATTTGAATTTGTGCCCAACAGAACTTTGAGAGAAGCCATTTCGGGTAAATAACAATGCCACTATAATATATTGTCAAATTTCCCATTTCGGCCGGATTTGAATGAATGAATGATAATGGTCGCAGATGGGCAAAAGTTTTCTTGGTCACAGAGGATGGCGGCTGCGTTAGGAATAGCAAGGGGAATCCAGTTTCTTCACACAGGGATAGTTCCTGGCATCTTCTCAAATGAACTCAAGATAACAAATATCTTACTGGCGGATCATCACATCCATGTCAAAATCAGCAAATACAATCTCCCTTTGTTAGCAGCAGCGGCAGCTGAGAATAATAAGTGTGATTTTAAGGAAAAAGATGATGTCTATGGCTTTGGAGTTATTTTACTTGAGATGATAGTGGGGAGGAAAATCATAACTGCAAATGACATTGATCTCTCCAAAGACATCGTAAGACTTCATCTCATTACTGACTTGTCATTATTATCTCCAAAGAATCACAGCAAGAATTGAAGCACTACAGCTTCTCACTCCTTTAATTTCCTCATCATCTTTTCTATATATGGTGCATGCTGCAGTTATATGTAAGCTTAGCAGCTGATGAGCTAGCACGGCGAAGCATTGTGGACCCCTCAATCTGCAAGGAATGCTCTGACCACTCGCTGAAAACCATGATGGACCTTTGCTTAAGGTGTGTTTCGAACCATGTGTCGGGTCGTCCATCCGTGGAGGACCTAATCTGGAATGTGCAGTTTGCCGCTCAGCTTCAGGAATTGTGGCACCGGGACTCCAAGCCTAGATGATTCATTAGAGTGAGTAATATATGAGCTGAGGGCTTGGTATTGTACTGAGCCAAATTAAACATATAAAAAGCAGACATTTCAAAAATTTATTTGAATGCTTCCCCGATCGATTTTTTTAGCTGAAATGTTTTGTGGATAAACTAGATTTGATGAGGAAAGTGCCCAAAAAATATCATCAAAAAATTCCACCAGAAACCGCCCCAAACGGCGGCGGCCGGACGGAATATCCTGTCCCTCCGGCTGGACAAGATTTTTTCCGTATATATATATATATATATGTGTGTGTGTGTGTGTGTGTGTGTGTATGGAAGAGTTCAAATAAAAAGTGATCTTCCCGTGCAAAGTACAAATTTTCACTTTTGCATGTTTCGCTTGCACTTTTGCTTATTTCCGCTGCACTTTTGCACAATTGCGAATTTTGTCAAAACCGACCAAAATGACGGTGACAGTTTTGTAAATAACTCGGTTTTTTTCGCTACCGCAAAAAAGTGCAACAAGAACATGAAAACGTGCAAGCGAAACATGAAAAAATGCAAATTTCGCACTTTGCACGCAAAGACCACTTTTTATTTGAACCATCCCCTATAGTGAGAACCCCTTTTAGAATGAGAACTCATTTTAAAATGAGAACTTCTAATTTCTACCATTAATTTCTATCATCAATGGTTAATAATGACAAGGTTGATTAATTGCATAAGAATCCCTTTTGAATTTGGGTAATTATGAATATGACCCCATGTGAATCATAATCATTGATAACAATAAATGAAAGATTGAGATTTAAAGTTCTCATTATAAAGAGTTCTCACTTTAGGAGGGGTTCTCACTAGAACCCTCCCCATATATATATATATATATATATATATATATATATATATATATATATATATATATATATATATATATATAGATGAGAGATCAAATGCAAACCCATCCTAATATGCTAACCTCCAAACCTAATCCTAACCCTCCATCTAATTAGATAACCGTTCGGTTCTACACGTTTGAAGACATCAAGCATATTACACAGAAGGGTGTTTTTGTCAATTGACTTAAATCTAATAATGGAAGAATCACGTTCCATTCCATAACCGCCTATACTCTCGTTAGATCCATTCCATCTTTGTGATTCTCAATAATTCCCTTCCATCTCTGCGATTAATATCTAGTCGTCTCCTTCATTTCTCTGCTTCTGTTCGTCTGCTACAAATATCAAAGCCTCTGGTTAATCTCTTTCAATCATTGTCATCGAACGCCATGGAATCCAGTATTCTGTATGAACTCAATCCAATTTTATACTGAAAATTTGTGGTTATCATCTTTCGATGTATTCATGAATCACTATGCGTAAGATTTTATTTATTTGATTGATGTGTATATTAAATGTTGATTGTGTCATCTTCCTTGTCTTTTTTGTTTAATTACTTTACTTTAATTCGTTAAACTTCATTTTACATATGTGGCCTTCGTTAATTTGCTTTTTGTTGATGTTAATTTCTAAACAATTTCTAGGACCACAGAGAAGGGATGATCCTGCTTATAAGGATTTTCATCACAAATTTGTTCTGAAGGAAGGGTACGGTGTTTGAGGAGGTACACGGTCAATTAGCAGGTTATGCAGTCAATTCCCAGAGCATTGGGGTGAATTTTTATTATATAGATGTAGGCATCAAGTTCTACAAAGAGTTTGCATCTATAGTTTGTCCCAAAATGATAGCAGGGATTACTTTGTATAGTAAAAAGGATTTGATAATATGAATAAGTTTATGTAGTTATGTTGTTTTGTTATTTTTGCAATGTATTGGTATGTAAATTGTAAACAAATTTGAGAAATGAATCTATTTCTACCTTTTCTTCATTGTAATTTATGTTTTGAACTATATGTACACATGTGTGTCACTAACTCTCATCCATTTTCGTATTACAGTTTGCACTTTACAACAGTTTGAAATGCATTCTCTGAAATGAGTGTCTAATAGGATTGGATGTAAACCTCTTTTAACTCTGAAATGATAAGATGCACATGATATAACCTTAATATGCATATCACAAAATGATAAGTTGCATGGTATTAACTTATAAAATGCACATGTCATAATGATGAAATGCAGTATGAACTATTAAAGTGCGCATATCATCGTACTACAGTGCAATATACAAACTTCTAAAATACACATGTCATGTTGCTAAAATGCAACATATGAACTACTAAAATGCAAAGTCTACATATGAACTTCATCCTACTAATAATGAAGATCTTGTATTCTCAATATGCATATCACGTGACATTTATATGCACATCATATAACCTTAATATGCATATCACAAAATGATAAGATGCATGATGTGAATTTCTAAAATGCATATGTCATAATGATAAAATGTGCGCAACTTAAGAACTCAAAATTGCAGACGCCATAACGATGAAATGCAATATGAACTATTAAAGTGCACATATCATCTTACTACAATGCAATATACGAACTTCTGAAATGCACATGTCATGATGATAAAATGCAACATATGAACTATTAAAATGCAACGTCGACATATTTTATAGCTATGTACTAGTAATATAAGTTATGTAGATATCATGAGTGTATAATGCACATCTTGTATGCTAAATATGCATATCATGTGACATTAATATGCACATCATATAACCTTAATATGCATATCATATAACACTATTATGCACTTGAAGTACATCCGTGTGCTTCAATTAATTATGTTGAACTATTGACTTCAACAATCAAGAGCTCTACATCTGACCATATTTAGGTTTCAAAAATGAATAATTTATTAAAAAGTGTTTCATTCTCTAAATTAAAAGAGCATCTTCAATGCTACAATGTGCACAATGCGCATGTGCCATGAGAGAGATAGACACATAAAAATGGAGAGAAATGTGAACGATTTATTTTACATTGTCTATCTCTCTCATGCCAAAAATGAAGAGAAATAGTAAAAAGGCATAAAAAAAATGATAACTTTCTTCATAATGGAAGGCATCTTTTTTTTTTATTTTATAAATTATGATAGGTGGATGCAATTTGTGCAATTAAGAGATCTTCAACTTACCTTTTTTAATATTTAGAAATGGAAGGTCAATCATGATGCAATTTATTTCTTCTTTCTTTATAATTAATCATTCAAAAAACGGAAGTTAGCTACTTGGATGATTAATTAAATGAGATGTGGCATAACATCAATGATTGCATAATTCAAACTTACCAAAATAAAAAATGGACGCTACTGCTACATTAAATCAAATGACTCATATACCCCTTTTAAAATCATTGACTGAATATAAGTTCCAATATGTATTCCATGCGTGTGAGTGCAAGATTATAATGATGCATCCCATACGATCAACTGTCCGTTTTTTTAATCAAACGGTTGCTAATTGGTTTGTAGGTTAGCACGGGAAGCATGGTTTGCATGGGATCTCCCCCCTATATATATATATAGAGGAATGATCCTGTCCAGCAGCCCCTGGTCCGAACAGTGTCCGAACATGGCCATTTGGGGCACTTCCCGGTGGAAATTTTTGAGGAAATTTTTTGAGCATGTTCTTGATCAAGTCTAGTTTGTTCATACCAAATTTCAGCTCAAAATTCGTTCGGGAAGGCATTCAAATCATTTTTTGAAGTTGACTGCGTTTTTATATGTATATTTTGACACAGTCAACTTCAAAAAATGATTTGAATGCCTTCCCGAACGAATTTTGAGCTGAACTTTGGTATGGACAAACTAGACTTGATGAAGAACATGCTCAAAAAATTTCATCAAAAAAATCCACCGGGAAGTGCCCCAAATGGCCATGTTCGGACACTGTTCGGACCGGGGGCTGCTGGACAGGATCATTTCTCTCTCTCTCTCTCTCTCTCCCTCTCTCTCTCTCTCTCTATATATATATATATAAGGGAAAGATCAAGTACAAATTGTGCTTATTGTGCAAATGTTTGTACGATACACCTTGACGTTATTTGCATTGCATATTGAGGTTCAAAGCGTTGCATATTATATAGTCATAAAATAGCAGTTGCACATTAACGAACGTTCAACGAGTTGCACCCTAGAAAAGTTAGATTTTATTACAAAAATGTCACATTGCTTTTATATCTTTTAGATCAACTCATCGGATGGTCAAGATAAGTTTGTACTTTGTAAATTAAGCATGGTTTGTATTTGATCTCTATTATATATATATATATCAAATGGAAACAATGTTTAATGTGAGAACGTGAGAACACCACATTTACCCCAATGTGATACACAATGAGGCTCTCCCAATGCACATTTTCGTGTTCGCCATAATATTTACCAAAATGGCACCGTGATTATTTATATTGGCTTGTTTTGAGCAAAGTCAAAATGTGCACCAGACAAGATCTATTGTGTATCACATTGGATTAATTGTGAGTGTTCTCACGTTCTCACGTTAAACATCGTTCTCATTGGAACCGCACCCTATATACAGGGGCGGAGTCAAGGGGGGGTCAAGGTGGTCTGCCGACCCCGCTGAAGGTTCAAGAACGTAGAGCTTTGAAATACCTTTGATTTGATATATTATGGATCTCGTAACTCATTATGAGTAAACAGTTATGATTTCTGGAAAAATCAGCACCATCTTAACGTGAAATAAGCAAAATTTGATGTGTGACGTTGATTATATTCTTAAATTTAAAAATAAAACACTTTATTCAGTCATTAGTTGTGTGAACATTTTGATACGTTACATATATATCAATACATTAACCGAAAAATGTTTATTAAACTACCATTTACACAGCTACATATGAAACATTTAACTCAAGTATTGTATAATAATTATCCCTCATTTTGATACTGTATGCTCCTTATAATTTTATAAATTCTGACCCCCCTGATACACTTGTAATTTCCGTGTGTATGTTTATGTTTTTAGCTAGTTTTAATTGTTTAATATTTCGGAAATTACACACTTTTGGTGTAATAGTCATGTTTGTAAAATAGTTGTAATATGTTTAGATTAGGTCCATTCTGAGTTTAAACAGGTCCAAGATCAATCCAATGATCATTGGTGAAGGAAGGTGCAAGAGTACAAGACAAAAAGAAGGCAAAATCCTGATTTTTGACCTATACTCGATCGAGTATAGCATATACTCGATCGAGTATCTTGTTGAGATTTCAAATCGGATCGGATCTGAAAACAAAGGAACATGCAGGGAAGATTTTGACCACGATCGAGTGTCGATACTCGATCGAGTACACCGACATACTCGATCGGGTATGACTATAAATTATACTCTGAATTCGGTCGAGTATGGGTCGAATTCAAGTTTCTACTCATACTCGATCGAGTATATATACATACTCGATCGAGTATGCCTTTAATTTTAAATCTGAAATCGATCGAGTATACCTCGAATTTGCATTTCTACACATACTCAACCGAGTATCTTTATATACTCGATCGAGTACCCGAGCTGCACTCCCAAAAAGCCTATAAATACACCCCCTTTCCTTCACAATAGATACCAATTCCTATATACTTCTAAGCTCAGTTTAGACAAGTTCTTTCTTTATATTTTTATCATGTTTAGTCTCCAAATGAGGAGCTAAACTCTTCCATCTTGGTTTTGCTACTTTGAAGCTTAATGATTTGTAAGTTGTGAGTTATTTTCTTTAATCTTCTTCCTTGAATATTAATTACTTCCTATTCATATCCCATATTAATATATTGAGCATTACTTAAAGTATCAACTAGTCTTGTTCTATATATTAATTATTACTAGAATCAATCGGTCAATACGCTTGTTATTAATTCGGTTCTTTCAATGGTAGTAAACTTGGATTGCTAATGCATGCTTCTCATGGTTAATAATCTAAGGGGAATTAATTATATTGATTAAACCAATAAACCGCTTGAGTTGAGGTTATCAATCTCAATCGTTTTCATCTTAAGTTTATTGCTACTATCAAGTTAATATATGGCGCTTGTTCTATATTGACTCGATAATAAGTTTTGTTAATGAACGCTTCTCGTTATTGATAACTACCCTCGATGAATTGGATATACTCCTCGATTGAGTATTCGAGAGGAAGATAGTTAAAGATATAACCGGGATCGACGAACATTTCATTAAGTGGATAAAAGCAAAGCCAAGTATTCTTCTCATTAATTAAATCACATAACTCGTTCATCTTCGTGTTAATTTTAATTAAATCACTCAAACCTAACCCCCCCCCCCCTTTGTTACTAGTTTATAAAGAGAGAAGTATTCCTTTCCCTGTGGATACGAACCTTACTACACTATACTACGTAATAGTGTCGTATTGATTATTATTTTGAGTGCACACCACGACAAAGTGCACGTCAAATTTGGCGCCGTTGCCGGGGAAAGGCAATTATTTTTCTTTTTATTTTATTCAAGAAAAATCAAAAAAAAAAATTAAACAAAAATATAAAGAATTCTTATTTTCTATTTCTGAGCTTTGTTTGAGTATATGGTTAAACACCGATCTATAAACCAAATCACCTACCAAACAAATCCCGAAACAGAACAAGCCTTCGAGAGGTTTAGGAATTTGTTTCCGAATACTTCTTCGGAGGAATCATCAAGTGCTAGCTCCAACTCTAGCGAATCTGTAGAGCCAATCACTATGGCTCAAGAGACAAGAACATTGAGGGAGCTCACAGCTCCGAACTTGAATCAACAACCATTGTGTATTACCTTCCCTACTCTTGATGAGGGTAATACGTTTGAGCTAAAATCTGGGCTCATTCATCTGCTACCATCCTTCCATGGTCTAAGAGGGGAGGATCCGAACAAACACCTCTCAGAGTTTCACATCGTTTGCACAAGCATGTGTCCAAACGGTGTGACTGAAGAACAAATCAAACTAAGGGCCTTTCCATTCTCTTTGAAGGACACCGCGAAGGATTGGCTTTTCTATC